CCACATGCCATATTAAAGGAGGACACGCAAAGATACCTAGTAACAGGGAAATATTTCAACACTTCATGCTCCAAACACAAAGAGAGAAATTGAGGAGGAAATGGATGCAAAGAGTCTCCTCAGATTTTTTTTCTTTCTACAAAAAGCATCATAGCCAGAACAAGGTCCACAGGGAGAAGTTGTTATGTATGCTATTCTCCACCTGTCACATGCTTATGGCCCTCTCCACATTACTCCTCACCCAGTGCTTTCCTCCACCCTAGCTCGTACTATATCTCCTAAATATATCCACCCAGTTCTTGCCAAACTACTCACCATTTAGGCCGGTTTTCACCATTCTTAAGAGCCCTCTGACATCACTGTCCCATACAGGCACATTTTCCATAAAGGAAGATAGTATTTCTCATACATACACTAATAGAAAAAGCTTATATGCTTTAAAATACATTAAGAGTGCTACATAAGAAGCTCCATACTCCATGTTATCCTTTGCAGGTGAGTTCTAACTTAACTCCCTTCAGTGATCATTTGATGCCTACATTCAATGTAGTTTAAAATTTAAAATATATTGGAAGTACCACAAAATAGGCCATTTCAGATAGGAAAAAAACCTTCTTTGAACAAAAAGCAGGAACATGTTTCTTGCAACTGCTGCACCATGGGGAGAAATATACTCCCCTCCAGAGACCTGCAGTTTTCTGTTAATTAAATCTCATAGGCCAGAATCCTATTCACTAGCTACACTGAATTAAGTGCAAGAACCTAAACTGCAGCAGCGAATTGCCACCAGTTAATAATGCTGCCACTTGAGAACCAGTCACACAAATTGCTGTGCAACAAGTGAAACAAGTAGCAACTTCCTGGAGGAGAGAATTCTGAAGGCAATGCTGGGGGACGCCTGTTTGACACCCTGGCCATTGGCCTGCATGGTCCCTCAGGGTCCTGTTTTGTTTCCTATGTTATTTAAAATCTACATGAACCCACGAGGAGAGGTTGTCAGGAGTTTTGTGGTTCAGTGTCACCAATATGCTGGTGACACCTAACTCTCTCTCTCCTTTCTATCTAAATCTGGGGAAGCTCTATCAGCAATAGATCAATTCCTGGTGTCAATAATGGACTGGATGAGGGTGAATAAACTCAAATTTAATCCAGACGATGGAGGTGCTCCTGGTCATTCGAAAGACAGATCAAGGAATAGGGATGTAGTCTGTGCTGGATGGGGTTACTCTCCCTCTAAAAACACAGGTGTGCAGCTTGGGGTTGCTCCTGGATACATCCTTGAGCCTGGATGCTCAGGTTTCAGTCATGACCAGGAGTGTATTTGCTTAATTAAAACTAGTGTGCCAGCTGCATTCCTAGAAAGTCTGATCTGGCCACAGAGGCCTTAATGTATTCTCGAAGGCTTTCACGGCTGGAATCCGATGGTTGTTGTGAGTTTTCTGGGCTGTTTGACCATGTTCTTAAGGTTTTTCTTCCTAATGTTTCTCCAGTCTCTGTGGTCAGCATCTTCAGAGGACAGGAGTCTGAACTCTGTCTGTGCTCAGGTGAAGTTTGTGGGCTAGTTGAGCATTTATAGCTGTGGGATCCGCTTTTGTCCTCTGCAGGAGATTGGGTGATTATGGTGATCAGGGTGTTTTTTGTTATGGGTGTATTGGCATGATAAGGGGGAGAGATGATCTGTCACTGTGATTGATGGGTGTCCTTAGCTGGTGTTTTGTGTTAATTGGTCACCTGTTGAGGCCTTGGTGGATTTCTGAAATGCAGAGGCAGCCAAGGCATGACATTATCACTTCTAAGCATCCCCACCCATAGAGTGCAGTCAAACCTGCTTCTTGGTTTACTATGGAGCTGGGAATGATGAAATGAGTGAAACAGATACTAGAGTGACAATGGCAGAAATCTCAGAGCAGATTTGATCGAACATGGCCTAGACCTTATTGGAAAACCTACTTCATGGCAGGGTGGCAGTGAAGAAGCAATTCATTTGTACAAAGCTGTCCAGCAGAGCTTTTTCAGGTAGTTAAGGGCCTGCTGCATAGATGGTCACAACAGAAGGATGATGATAACTCAACAGCCTGCTGTGAAGAGTTAAGATGGCATTCTGCAGATAAAGTTGCTCAGATCCACTCTGATTTAGATGCTGTAGTTGACACAGGTCCCGTTGATGTAACTGACCCCTGCTTGTCCTCTTACAATGGATACATTTCTGTCGATGTAGCCTGATAATGTGGACAGATCTTTGCAGAGGTTAAGGTACTACATACGTGCTGGACTCTTGCCCTTCCTGGCTTATAAAATCAGCCAGAGCGGGAGTGGCTGAATTGGGTTAAGGGAGTGGCGAATGCCTTCTTTCAGCAAGGCAGGGTACCAGCATGCATAAAGGGGGCAATAGTAAGATTTCTGTTTTGAAAAAAGCCCTCCTTGAATCCCACTGTATTGGATAATTATGGCCAATCTCCAATATTCCATTTTTGGGCAAGGTTTTGGAGGTTCCTGGATGATGCAGATTATTTAGATCCATTTCAATCTGCCTTTAAGCCTGGTTATCTACACCAGGAACTGAACAGGGGGAGTGTCCCCTTATTATTATTATTATTATTTATTTATTTAATTTATACCCCGCCTATCTGGCCCACTGGACCACTCTAGGCGGCTAGATTCTGCTCACATCTATCTATCTATCTATCTATCTAGGCGGCTAGATTCTGCTCATCTTCTTGTTGATTCTGCTCATCTTCTCAGTGACTTTCAATAGGATCAACCATGCTATCCTTCTGGGGTACCTTTCTGGGACAGGTCCTGGAGATACTCTCTTAGAGTGGCTCCAATCCTTCCTAGATGGTCAAACTCAGAAGGTGGTATTGAGGGAATCCTATTCAACAACCTGGCCATTGGTATCTCCCAGGGTTCAGTCTTGTCTCCCGTGCTATTCAACATCTATGTAATATTGTTGGGAAAGGTTGTCCAATGTTTTGGGGATTTTATGTCATCAGTATTCTGATGACACCCAACTCTATCTGTCTTTCCCAACTGATTCCAAGGGAGCTATTCTGTGCCTCGACCAGTGCCTGGCATTGGATGAAGGCTAACAAAATGAAACTTAAATCCAGACAAGACAGAAATGCTCATGGGTTAGTCACAAGGCCAATCAGGGGACAGGGATTCAGTCTGTACTGGATGGGGTTATGCTCCTCCTGAAAAGTCAGGTTTGCAGTTTGGGTGAACTCCTGGGCTCAACTCTTAGCCTGGATGCACAAATCTCAGTGATGGCCAGGAATGCAACTGCACAATTAAAGCTGGTGAGCCAGCTGCAGCTGGAGATGTCTGATCTGGAATGGTGACAGATGCCTTCATTTACGTCTCATCTTGATTACTGCAACCTGCTCTACGTGGGGCTACCTTTGAAGAGTGTTTGGAAACTTCAGCTGGTTCAAAATCACTGCAGCCAGACTGCTCACTGGTGCTGTTTACAGGGAGCACATACTAACTCCCTTACTACATCAGATTCACTGTCTGCCAGTCTGTTTCTGGGCTCTTCAAAGTGCTAGTTATTACCGATGAAGCCCTATACAACTTGAATCCAAGCTATCCGAGGATCATATCACCCCATATGAGGCTAATAAGCTTTTAAGATCTTCTGAGGAAGCCCTTCTCTCGGTTCCATTACCTTCACAAGCTCATTTGATGAGAATGCAAGAGACGGCCTTCTCGGTGGTTGCTCCTAGTCTTTGGAATGCACTGCCCCAAGAAGCCAAATTGCCTGGTGACAGAAGGACAAGAGGGAGGAGACCAAAAACCTTCCTTTTCAGGCAGGCTTTTAAGTGATAAATGTCTAGGGAACACTCTATTTTTGAAATTTAGATATTTTAATGCTTTTTAAAATGTTTTCAAAATTGTTTTTTAACCCTGACCAATGTTTAACTTTATATATATATATACTTTGTATATAGTTTTGTACTTTTTTAAAAATATATTCTTATTGTATAATTTAAATTGTTGTGAGCCACCTTGGATCCCCTAAGAGGAGAAAAGCAGCAAATAAATAATAAAATAAAACAAAATAAACTTCAGCCATGCTCTGAACCCATGTAGTATGGTCAGTATAAAAGAAGCACATTTTTACAACATAGTGATGCGAGCTATATTACAGCACACAAAAATAGATGATATTCTCAGCAGGTTCTCCTGACTTCCTGTTCATTTTTAGCATAAGCCAAGTCTCATTAAATTCACACTGCTGCCCTTCATTGTAGAGGAGAATCAGTATGCAAGAGGCCTCTCTCAAATCTGCTTATTCTTCCCTGTAAGTAGGTGAGGACCCCAGGGCCCTCTAGATGCTATTGGATTACCACTTTCATCATTCCTGAGTACTGGCAGTGCTAGATACACTGAAGGGAATTGTAATTTAACACTACTGAAGAAGCCAGAGATTTCTCACTCATGTCTGAGGCAGTTTTAATTAGTCCCCATTCCCAGGATGTCATCAAAAGGCAAAGAACAGGTAAGCAGCTTCCTAATCACCTACCAATCTTTCCTTGTAGCTGCCCTTTCTCATCCCATGTTCAGTCATTACAGGAAACGTAAGGTTTGAAATCATTATATTGACAGTATCATATTTCTATCATATGTTCTATCCTGTCACATGCCTTTAACATGAAGTACTTAAAATATATCCAGAATGCACCAACAAGCTTTTAAAAGCCTGGAGGTAAAACCAGAAGAAAATATTGGCTCAATATACTTGACTACTGAGTCTCTGTGTGCAACCGTCTACAACTCTGTAGCTTCAAACACAGGTCAAAACGATCACCTACCTCTGTATGCCTTTTTAAAAATGTATTTATTTGTTGACAACTAAGAATAAGGTAAGGAATACAGAAGGTAAAGGGGGATATGGAGGGTAGGGGGGTAGGAGAACACAAAATATACATTCATCCAATCTATTCATGTTGCAATATGAAGTTGACTTTCCGCCTTTCTACAATTTGATCGCCTCCTACCTCTGTATGTCTTGAATGAAGTGCATTATATTCCTTCTTCAGCTCTGCTTCCCTCTCTTCCAGTCTGCTAACTGAAAAAGATAATTTAATCAACAACAGATATTTGACTAGCAACAGAAACGTTTTTTAACATCTGCTCCAGTTGCCATAAATTGAAGCTATTCAACAACAGATATTTGACTAGCAACAGAAACAACGTTTTTTAACATCTGCTTCAGTTGCCATAAATTGAAGCTATTCACCTAGATCACTGGTTCTTAACCTTTGTTACTCAGATGTTTTTAGACTGCAACTCCCAGAAGCCTTCACCATCAGCTCTGCTGGCTGGGGTTTCTGGGAGTTGCAGTTCAAAAACACCTGAGTAACAAAGGTTAAGAACCACTGGCCTAGATGACACTTTGCACTTTTTTAGAAAAGGTACTCTTGCTCTGATATCCCTTCTTGTAAGCATTTTTCTCAAGCAAGCTTTGAACAGGTAAGGCTGTGGCTCAGGCATTTGGAGAGTATATATAAATCCAAGTCTCACAAAGAAGCATTACTTCATATCCCCATCGATCTTAAAAAAATCCTGAAACCAGAGCAGTTTACCTACTGTTCTTGAGCCACTCCTGAAATATCAAAGAATTATGCTCAGCAAAGCCTTTTGCAATACACTATGAACTACAGGAAAGAATAAGGGCCTATATTATATGGCAGAAATACTCTTGCTCTTTTCCCATTAGCCAGGAATCAGATTACTGATGATGTTTGGCAGGCATGTCACCAACGCCCAAATCCAAGATTCACCACCCAACCTCTTGTGATGCTAAAACTGCATTCCCAATTCTTAAGCCTGTGACAGAAATATAGAAGTACTATACAATCAGTTATATTAATGGTTTACAAGACCAATACCAAGCATATTAACAAAGAAAATAAGAGGAGATAAAAGCAAATTTGTCTGACATGAAATCACCAAAATACAACATTCTTAATTTTTAAAAAAATTTCCACCACTTAAAACCAAAATGCTTTTCCAGGAGCTTGAAAAATCAGAATACAGGTCTTGGTTTGAATACCCTATATTTAGGGAACTGTTAAAATGTATTTAGGAAAAATTCTGGCTTACATACAGGTCCTCAGATCTCTATAGGGAGAAACCAGGAGATAATTTGCTATACCTACCACTATAATGCCAGCCTTTGTATTTTACTTTTACATGCTGAGACGATTTCTCTAGAAAATAGTAACAATTCCTTTCAAATAAAAAAGCTACAAAAAAGGTAATGTCTAAATATGGCCTTAAAAGCATAATTAATAGTGAAGTATATTTGAAACATTAACACATGTCTAGTTCATGCCATTCTCCCCACTCCTTTATTAGCTACATAAATACAGGAAACATGCAGGCAGTGTTCAGAAAATGACACTTCATGTCATTGTCCAGCTGTGTAATATAACTATTCCTATTCACTGAGTGATCTGATAGCTATAGTTTCTGCTCCATCTAGTGGACTACTGATCTGATTCCATGCACATTAGTGTAGATTAAAGGACACCATTGATTAAGTGCATTTAAACATATCTAACAACTTTGCTTTCTAAATAAGTCAGGTGTTCTCTGGATTTTTCTTTCCAGTTTATATCTAATTACCTAACAATACATTAAGTTCTGACAGAAAGTGTGTAAAAAACAAAAACAAAACAGGTATCTAGCAAGTGTTTTTTTACCACCCAAGTCTTATAACTCATGCATCATTTGGTGTTCTTCTTCATCAGTATTTGCTTTCCATAACCAAATGCTGAAAAAATCCCAGTATTATCTAACAGCATTGAAAGCAAGCAGGAAAATATAACTCAGGAACAAAAACATGCAAAAGAATAGCTAATGGGAGCACTGTGCCACATGATCAAGGAGGTTTAGAAAATATGCTTTCTCAACAACATCTGACTCATTGTGCCTTCTTTTTTTCTTTCTTTTTTTTTTTCACTGTACTTCCTTAAGATTCTTAGGACAAGAGTAAATGGGACACACATACTTCTTTTTTATCAAGAAAAGTCCATAAGGAAGATTGCAAGCAGAGTTCTCCTCTTTCCTCCTCTGACTGAGAAGGATACCAGATGATGTAAAAAAAAAATGATTTTTACTGAGCACAGAAACAGAGGTGTGGCAGTCTGGAAACTTCCTAGGTTTACCAGAAATTGAGAGAAATCAGAAGAACAGAAAGAAATGCAGTGTTTGAGAAAATCCAGCTCTTATGAAAATGGTTATAATGACAGGCCAGAAAATTCAGCAGTGCCCATTATGTGGCATTATAAACACAAGTTTTGTAACCTTCATGTTATAGGTTGACAAGGGTTAATATCATGAGACAGCTAGGCAAATGACTCAGAAGTATTCAACAGTCAGGTTTCTTCAGAGATCTTTAAAATGGAAAGAAGTTCTTTTCTTTCCGCTATGGAAGAAATTCACTGAGGACCCCAGCTAGGTCACTGGATCTATGGCAGCAGACTACAAACTGCTGTGATTAATTTAGGAACATCTATCATAGGTGTGTCCATAAGCCAGGATTTCCCAGGACCAGGTTTACCATGACATGCAACCATGATAAGAGCCTTGAGATACCAGCTGTTGGAAAGCAGTTCAGGAAAAGATTTACTTTATACGTATCCTACTTCTTCACATCATGCTCATGGTGGCTAACAAATATAATTAAAACCCGACTAAAACACTGAAAACAAATTAAATGCAAAACTAAACAGTGATGTTATTAAAATCACCACATTAATTATAAACAGTTAAAATCACCATAATCTGTAGTCAAAGCTGTCTGAAATGCCAGCTTGCACCAATACATCTTCACACCCTTGCTACAAACACTGGACCTAGGAACTGACCACAACGGTGTGGGAAGTGTATCCCTAGTATGGGAGCAAACACAGAAGCAAGTTTTCTCCTACATATCTACCAAGGTCTTCTCCTTAACACCTTTGCACATTCTTAACAAAGGAGGTCAGCTAAAAAAACAGGCAGGGTTTGAAGATTAAAGCAAACATGTTGAACAGGGCCCAGATAATAACAGGTAACCAGTGCAGGTCTTTCATTATTGGTGACTTATAATCATGACAACCATGTACCAGGTTACCATTGCAGCTGCTGCATGCTAGAACTGAAGCTCCCAGATATTCATCAAGGGTAACCCCACACAGCAGGAATCCAGATACTGTACTGTACAATGTAAGTAAGAGCTGCTGCATGCTAGAACTGAAGCTCCCACACAGCAGGAATCCAGATACTGTACAATGTAAAGCATGATGATCCCTTTGCCCTAGGAAAGTCTAGAGTCACAAAAGTACAGTACAGTACTTCCAGAGAAATAACATGGCTTCTTCAATTTAGAAACAGCAGCGGTGTTTCCAGTGTGTATCTAATTCACAATAAACTAGGACACATTCAACCAAAACTGCCAAAATGGTAGCCTCTGGGGTCCTTCCCGCCGCATCAAACAAACCTAGCAATAAAGTAACTGAAAGAAGCAGCACACTGATATCTTCTTGTACTATTCTATCTTAACATGCAGAAATTTCAAAGTACTTCCTTATATCATTAAATCCTCATTTACATTATGATGCATTATTTACTAAATACATATCCTGCAAGTCTGATAAAGGCAAGGTAAAAATTTTCTAAATAACTTGTTTAGTACTGTCTCAAGTCCAATAAATACTTGCTGAGGCCTCAATATAAAAGTAAAAAACTTTTTTAAGAAACAGGGCAGAGTTAAAATTCAAAATCCCAGCATTAATTTGATTTCAGGCTTTAATGTAGAGCCCTTTATCTTTCTCCATACTCAAAGCATACATAGTGATGAAAAACAAACATCAAAACAAGCCTACCAGATTTCTTAAAAGGTACAATATAAATACATAGAAAAGCTTCATTTTAGGAAAAATTCTTTAAAACACCAAAGCATAAGAATGTGCAGAAGCCAGGTGATTAAATAAATCATACACAGAGAAGTGTAACATGTTTAAGACAGTACTACGCTTTAATACAGTACGAAGAAATGGCAAAGATTACAGGATCTGAAAATATCACAGTGAAGAATGAAAAGGCAAACAGGCCTGAAGACTCCAGTCCCAAGACACAAAACAGTACACTACTACATGTATGGTTCCATCAAAAGTCTGTCTCTCATCATAGAGGTACCACTCCATCCTCAAACCATTAAATTAATACTGTCAAAGCTGATGCTGTTGGTTACTGATATGGTTCTAAGCATTTGGTTCCGAAGTTGGCAATAGAAACCATTGCTAGATGTAGCAATCCAGAGTAAGATCATGCACACCTGGTTCCTGATCCAACAAGAGATGCACAAGAGCGGATGTGTTGGCATATGATTTCCACGTCATCATAATGGGACAAGCAGCATACAACCTGGGCATTAGATACAAATCTTGGTCACAACTGGAAATGAGATGGAACAGCCCTTAAAACTGTGTTTTGTAAGAGTTAAACAAATTAAGCAAGAAAAATTGTGATGACCTTTATCAAGTATAAATTGTCTAGAGGAAATCTAATCAGTTATTACTCCTGTAACCAGTAATAGAACTCAAGTTTTACCATTTTCTCCATGAATAATATTTACATGGGAATGACTTCATCAGTGCTGGAGCTCAACACCAATACTGCAGTGAGGTTTTTTGATTACGGTAACTGGGAAAATCCTGTGCCAAAGAGTCCACAAAGTGTACCACTAGAGAGAATGTACACATTTTATATTGTCTCACATAGGCAGTTCTGGGGGCCTCTTTGTATTACATAATGGAAGATGAGGGTCCAGATTTCCATGTGACTTGACCATGATTTTTCTATAAGAGTAGAAAGGCATCTGGATGTTTACAAATATACTAGACAGGTGCAGTGAACTGTGGAAAATGTATTTCAATGTTTTATGTTACAACTTTTAAAAAAATAATTGTGAGAAATGGTCCTCAGTGTTTGTATGTCCAGACTACTGAAAAAAGCTATCTACTGTACACTGGAGGAACTTTAATGTTAGAATGATAAATTATTTATAACTCTGCAAAA